TCAAAGCAGTTAGGAGCTTGGTACTGGGCTGGCAGCTCACACTTAGTGAGATGATGGTGGTGGCATATGTTGGGACAGCGATTTGTTCCTTCCTTGTATTTTCTCATGGATCCCCATTCTCCAGATGAAACAAAAGCTTTGGGGAAATGAAATGACTTCTAAGTCCCCACAGGTAATAGTCCTAGAGCCAGTATTGGAACCCAGGCTGTTTTCTGACCTGTAGCCCTGGCCTTTGGAAATTTGCCACAGTTGGATCATTTGGTGTTTTTAAGATTGCCCTGGGACAGGAATGGAGGCTGTAAGGAAGCTCCATGGTAGAGCTCCCAGCCTGTCTTTAACTGAACTATTGAATTATCTCTGTGTGCATCTTCCCACGGAGCTCCCACATGGAGGGGAGCAGAATCAAGCCTTCCCCCAAATGCTCATTTGCAATCCCGACAACTTCCTCTCAGTTTTGCTGACCTTTTCCCCATTATGTTACCATCTGTCTCGGAAACAATGCTTAGGTAAAGACAAGTTGAAGCAGTTGTTCCTCGTCTTAATAACAGAACTACTTCTCTTCTCCCCTAAAGCGGCACTGAGCACCATCTTTCAGGAGTTCCATATTTGTAAAGCTGGCCTGTGCTGCAGAGATGTTTGCTTTCTGTCTTTTTTATCATTCGTCAAATATTTCATATGCTGCCTGGGAATGATTAGCTTTAATTACTGAAGTGTTTGTGGGATGCTTGAACTTCATGTAGTTTTGAGAAGGAACTCCATGTAGTTTCTCCTTTAAAACAATGAGAGAGCATAGCAGAGAATGCATACTGAGGTTTCTTTTTGCACTGTCCTTCCCACCCACACATATGCCACTCCCTGGGGTTCCTGTAGTGTAGCTCTGGCGAGGTTTTATGTCATGATCCTGTAGAGAATAGGCAGTGGACTTCAGGGACTTTTTTCTGGGTCTGTAACTATATCCTGGCACCTCTGTTTGGGGGCCACTTGTTGCTGTCACAGAGTCCCTGCGTGGTTCAAGTGGTTAGCGTTCTTGGCTGCTAACTGAAAGGTTGGAGGTTTGTATCTACCCAGAGGTGCCTTGGAGGAAAGGCCTGACAATCTACTTAAAACAATCATCCATTGAAAACCCCATGGAGCACAGTTCTACTCTGACACACGGGGTTGTCATGAGTCAGAATCTACTCTGTGGCAACTTTTGTTGTTGTTGATGTCAAGGGCATGCCACTAGAAGGGCAGTTGTGTTTTCCCCAGGCTTTGACACATTCACCTTATTTCCTGCCTGATGGCAGTTTCCACATCTTGAAGCATCTGGGCCAGGACCGACTGGAATGGGAGTTCTTCCTGGATGTCCTCTCTTCCACTGTCCCCAGCATGATTTTGCACTGTCCTAGGGAGACTCCAGAGAGTTTAGAGGGAAGGGCCCTGTCTTAGTTATCTAGTGCTGCTGTAACAGAAATACCACAAGTGGGTGCCTTTAACAAGCAAATTTATTTTCTCACAGTTTTGGAGGCTAGAAATCTGAATTCAGGGTGCCAGCTCTAGGGGAAGTCTTTTCTCTCTCTCTTGGTTCTGGGGAATGGTCTTTGTCTCTTTTCAGCTTCTGTTTCTTCATTCCTTGGACATCTCATGTGGCGTGGCATCTGTCTTCCCCAGTTATACTTGCTTGCTTCATCTGTTCTTTTATATCTTAAAAGAGATTGACTTAAGACACACCCTGCACCAGTAAACTTCCTAATTAACCTAACAAAGAGAACACTCTCCCAAATGGGATTATAACCCCTATAGGGGTTAGGATTTACAACACGTATTTTGGGGGGGACACAATTCAATATATAAGAGGCCCCACAAGATCTCAGATGTAAAACCACTGCAACTTTGTGGGGAAAATATGGATTGGCTAGGTTATTTGTCATCATTAGTAAAATAGTTACAAGTGATTTAAATACACGCACGCACACACACACACACACACACACACACACACACAGACATACACACATATATATGGAATTGGATTTTTTTATCTCATTCAGAAATGTTACGTAGTGAATGACTAAGATGTGTGTGATTCCAAAATGGTGATGCAAAGAGAAGTTACAGGGTAGAGGCTAGAATGATAATAGTAATAGTCAACTCTTATAGTGCTTTCTCTCTGTCAGGCACTGTTCTGAGCACTTACATATATTAGCTTTTCACTCCAGGCGTTACAGCCAGGAATGACAGAGCCAGGTTTCAAACCCCGGCAATCTGGCTCCAGAGTCCATGCTTTTACCTATATCATAAATTATTTTAGATGCTAACGTTTTCAGTGCTTGATTTGATTAACATTCTGTTTTCATATTATGTGTTTATTTCAAACGAAAGCCATATAATTATGGAATTTTATATTCTTTATGTGTCTTTGGGTCATCTCTGGGGCTCGAGAGCAACTGGTTTTATGTGTCTTTGGAAAGTAAGTTTCTGTACAAAAAGCAGTGGCTAGTTTAATATGATACCTCCCTGTTGAAGTATGAATAATTTTTAGTAAGTGCATGAGAAATAATGTGCATATAATTTAAATAGACTTCAAAAGTATAATTCAGAAATGCACTTCTAAATAGTTTTGGGTAAATTTAATTTCTAAAAATCAGTTCTACACGTAAATTAATGTGGGAGTTTATACCAGCAAAACCCTTCCAGGAATCTGTCTGTAAAGTGAATAGTCAACTCCCAAATTACCTCTTTTACACGTTTCGATGTGTATATTTTTTCTCTGCCCTCATCCACCCATTTGAAAATGAAGTATTTGATCGTTTTTTATATTTAGAAATAGAATGTATTTTCTCTATTATAATAACGAATTAATCCATCGAGGCATATGTAACAACAAATTTCAAACTTTGGTTAGAGCAGTTGCTGACTTTGCTCAAGGTTAAAGGAAGTATGCTGAAAAGAGATAACTGTAATTAAACTGCTCAAACCTAGCCTTCCAGATTTTTCACATGGAGAATTGCACTTCTTATACTACATTCTTCCTGACTGTAATAAAACCCAAACCAAACCTACTGCTGCCTAGTCGATTCCAACTCATAGCAACCCTATAGGATAGAGTAGAACCGCCCCACAGGGTTTCCAAGGCTGTAAATTTTTACAGAAGCTGACTGCCACATCTTTCTCCCAAGGAGCAGCTGGTAGGTTTGAACCGCCGACCTTTTGGTTAGTAGTCAAGCACTTTAACCACTGCGCAACCAGTGCTCCTGTGTCTGCATAATACCTGCAATTTACTTCATGTAATGCCACCCCCATCTTGGTAGTAAACTTTTTACTGAAGAGGAAGAATATTGGACGCGTAATTTTATTTAATTGGAATTTTCACAGATGACGTTTAATGAAGTTTCAAGTTTTTATTTTGCAGCTTTTAGGCAGGTTGGGATTAAAGGATTGTATAGATTTTTTTGTGACCAGTTTGCATTGCGTGCGTGTGTTTGTGTGTGTAGCTTAGGTTATAAGTGTGAATTGCAGTACATGCAAAAGTGAAAGCTGCAACATGGCTCCCATGCTCCTGACCACTTCCTGAAAAACCCGCCACGTGTGCCCCAAATTTAGAGACTTAAAGTTCAGTCCTCAGGACTGAAAGAGTGCGAGTCCTTCGTGGTAAAGGCCTCAGGTAAACCTAAACCTAAACATTTAAACCTGATTTCTGCTGTTGTGTGATATCAAATGTTTGGTTGCCTCAGTTGTCAAATTTTCGATGTACAGTTTTGCAATTCTAAATCTTAAAGAATAGAGCCGGAGTTTTGCCATACTTTAAAATAATCTGATGACTTTCTCTTTTGCATGATCCAATTCTTTGAAACCAACTAGAATGTGCATTCTGATACTGAAATGTACAATTTATAAAAGAGAAATGTGAGCTTGTCAGATCATCTACAACCACCGGTCTAATAAAACTGAGTCACACCCAAATGGGCTGTGCTTACGCTTACCCTCCCATTCTAGGGAAAGCGTGGCTGGGGGAGGCAGTCTGAGTCATCACCTGGTTTGTTTGACATACGCTTCCTTCCATAAATTGGGAATGGCAAGCAGCACAGTGTTCCAGGCTTGCCTCGGAGAAGGAGCTGTTGAAGCTGTGCACGATCAAAATAGGGCTTGATCAAAATGAAGTTTAGCTTATATTTTGACTTCAAATGTCAGGGAAGGGGGAGAAACTGACAGACCCAAGCAAGGAACATTTGTAAGTATCATTTGTTGATGTAAAAAAATGTAGGGGTGTTCATAGTTTAATGTTTTTCCCATAGGGCATAACAAAAATTTAAGAAATAAGTTGGGGATGTTAAAATAAAATAAATAAATTTAGAGCTAATTCACCAAGGGAGCTCGTTTACTCAACAAGATTGTTTTAATATGAACAGACCAGAATGATTGCATGTGAGATAGAGACATGATTTGGTAGTAACCATATGAATTTGTCCTTCTAATGTTTAATTTTGCCCAAATTATCCAACCATTTTAAAAGAAATGTATTTAATTTAAGAAACTTTTTAATGGTAAACTTTGCATCTCTTTAGGGATCTTTTCAAGGGATGGGGAAGATAGGAGACTCATGTCTCGTACATTTTTGCTACAGTGGTTTTGCAAAGGTTCACTGCAGCTTTTATTAAAATAAAAAAGTTTAAAATTTAAAATTTTCGGGGAGACTGTAGAGGAAGGGGAAGGAGGAGTAGATTTATAGTTTAAGTGGGTTTGTAAACTCAGCCTCTGCTTTGGGATTATTTTTTAATATGTGCCAGACATTCCACTGATTTCCATCCTGGCTGGGTTGTGGCTCTTTCTCTGTCTGTGGGGCTGGGGTGTTCCCTGTTTTAAAGCCGAAGTTTTCGCAGCCTGGGCGTTTTCTGTTTCGGCTTATGGCTTTTTTTTTTTTTTTCTCTTTTCCTGAATGAGTGTCCTTTGTGTAACCCCAGTAATTCAGAAATCCTGCAGTCATAGGGACTGCCCTGTCATGTGACTTAGGTACTAGGTGCTGGCTGCTATTGGTCAGCAGCTAATTGGCGGGTCCCTATAAGAGGTCCAGGGCCAGGAGCTGGCCACTCTCCTGCCTGGGCTGCCTGCTCAACGGGGGAGGGGGGTGTCCAGTGTTTCAGCCACTTGTGATAGATGACCAAGTGACCTCTTCCTTGGGGTATGCACACCAGTGGAAGACACACAAACTGGTTGTGGCCGACTTCATCAAATGCTGGCGTCCTATGGTAACTGTCACTTTAATATAGCTTAATGATTAAACTAAGAAAAATGCAGCTGAAAATCTATGCCAGGAACTTGTGTGGACTTACTCCCTGTTTTTTATCCCCCTTGTTCTTACTCGTTTTGTCACAGGAATGAAATGCAGATAACTCTTTAGAAAACTTTTATAGGAAAAGCGGCTCGTGTGATCTGGAACAAAGACATTTTATAATCAGATTTATCAAGCTGCGAAGAGGGAGCTTTAGCGAACGGAAGCAGCAGCATTCTGTCACCAGGAAATACTTTATCCAGAATTGGTAAGTGAAAAATGGCATTGCTCCCTAATAGATATCATATGGTGTGTGGGGGAATTGTAAAATTGTTCACAGACCCCTAACTGTTGAACCAGAGAGCACATAAACAGAGTCAGGAATTCTAAAAAAGAGCTGCCCAAGAGTATAGCATAAAGGCTGAGAATGAGACCAGGTAATTAACAAAAATGAGCCGTGTGTCACTCATTTAGCAAGCATATGTAATGCATTTAGTTTTAGGGTTTTTTTCTTCCTTTTTAGTGGGGGGAAGCATACCATCAAAATGAGTTGTTTGGTAGTTATGGCTTTAACTTTCCATGGATATAGATTTCCATATAGTCTGTAATAGTATGTTCGGTGTTTGAAGGACTGCTTTCAACGCCTGTCTCCTTGCCTTCCTTCTACCCAAGGGTGTCAAGCATTCAGTTAGAACGTTAACAAAATGAAAGTACGAGTAATGCATTGGAAACGTTTTCTACTGATTGTGAAGGGCAGATTAAAATGGGAATCGATTTTTCTTTTTTACATTTGTGCCATAAATTCTAGGATTGTTTTGTTTGATTACATTAGTACAGCAAATGGGTGGTTCTTTTTGTATGGTCCATTACATTTTGAGAGATCGTGCTTAGCATTTTCTATTGGTTTTGTGTGTGTGTGTGTATATATATATATCTGCCTGTCTTATCTTTTTCCGAAACCTTAAATTAAGTTCTCTAATCTCAAATCTGAACTGCCCCTATGTTTAAGGTTTCCAGAAAAATACAATAAAGCTTTGAATGCCTGTGTTATATACAATGGGTTCCTGTTCACAAACTGTAAGGAAAGACAGTTTTATATTAGGAATGAATGTCAGATTTCTTGATCTGGTTTCTTAAGAATGATTGTGCCAAAAAGGTTGAATAGAATAAGAAAATAAAATTAGAATGGTGAGTGGCTATGTGATTTTACCAGTTTCTTATTGGTCAGTAGAAGTAATCATGTGATGTCTACTTATAGAATCAGATGGAAAAATACTTTGTTCTTTAACTGATAGCAATTATATAGGTAATTTTGGTGCTCTCCATTTATAAATGTGAATATATAGAATTCAAATTGTTACTAACAGTTACAAGTTTTGGTTTATATAGGATATAATTTTATATATTTCTTGCTAAATATCTTAAACCAAATTGAAAGTTGAATCTGCATTTGTGACTTTTTGGTTCCCATTCTTTCACTTTTGAAATCTTAAAATCTTGAGCTTGAAAGGAAAAAATGTAATGAAAACAGAGGGATAGGAACGCTGCAGTTTCTCTTTGTTGGCAGTGGAGTGGGATGAAGGTAGAGGGAAGGGAGATGAGTCTAGTGGGATCTATAATTGATCTTTTTTGTTTTTTCCTCTTATATACGTTGAGTACTTTTAAAGTCATTTTTCCCAGACAAATAGCTCTCAAGACTTCGGTATGTTTATTTATTTTTAAAGAAATAGATAAAAAGAGAAGGTAAGCCTGACTGTTAAAGGCAGGTCTTGCAATAAACCAGGAAATAGGTGATCCAGCCTTGTGAATATTAGAATTTATTTGACTTAATTCAGGTGTGGCTGAGGATGTGGAAAAACACTGCTTATTCCTCTGAAGCACATGAATTTATAGATTTTAGAGTCTTGAAGATAGAAAAATGGTGACAAAGTATTAAGATATTTACAGGTAATTTGTATCAGTTTGCTTGCTGTTTTCAGTGAGTCACAATTATTTTCAGCTCTGTATTTCATCTAAGTACTTGGGTAGAACGATAATTTAATAATGTGACTAAACACTGTTGTGCTTAAAGGAAAAAAAAAAACCCTGTATAAATTTTACGTTCTACTCATCATTTAGAAGCCATTCTTTTGAATGTGTGATATAAGCAGGTTGAAATATTAAATGCTAGAAATTATAATCCAGAAGATTCCTTTAGGTCATCATGTTCTCAATTCTATTTGCCATTCACTGTTAACAATTTATTAATTTTAAAAGTACATTTAAAATGGCGTTTCCCTGAATTTTTCCCTGGAGTCTTTGAGAGTAGTATTAACATTTTTGTATCTTCTGTTAAAAAGTACTAACAGTGTGCATGTGTGTTTGTGGGTATACAAAGCTACAAACTGAAGGGAGTCTCCTTGATCTGCCTTGTCTGCCAAGTGACAGAACTCAAAATAATTTCTCTCAAATGGCATTTGATATTTGCATATTTGGGAATATAAACACTTTCCCTTTGGATTTAGTTCTTAAATTTTTGGTGTGATATACAGTTTTCCCCAAATGATTGATTTTTTTTTCCCTTGAGGTAAGTATATGTGTGTATGTCTATATATATGTGTCTGTATACACACACACACACACACAGTATTTAATTTGAAGGGAAGCTTTAGTCACTAGTGAAACAAGTGGCTGTTTGTTAGAACCCAGATAAGCCACACAGTGTTGTTCCTATGACAACGGAGTAGTTGGGTGTTGAAATGTAGCTTTAAGTTCTGGGTTTGGAAATGTCATTTAGACCTCCCACTACAGTCTCATTGAGTAGGAGGATAATGAGAAGGGGAAAAAGCATGAAGCAACATAAGTATCTCCATTTGTTTCATGTCTTCCTGACTTGTTTTTGTGTATGAGATTGCCATGGGAGTGGTAAACATAGGTCTTGAACAAAACAATACTTCAGTATAAAATAATAAACGTAAAGGGGTCAGAAATGTTGGGGGAAGATAAGTAACAACACATGGTGGTAATAAAGAGGCAGGAGAAGTCAGCTTCCATGGGTTTTTGTAATTCTTTATCCAGGGCTGACCATCAGTGAGAACATCTTGAACCAGTTATTGTATAGCTCTTCAAAAGCTGCAAATATTTCCTTAAAATGCAGTGTGGGGAAAATTCCTTTGGTAGCAGGATGGTTTACCACTTTTACATAACATTTATTCATCTCCCTGAGGCTGACTACATGGAATACTGTGTTCTTTTAAGGTACATGTTTTTAAGTCAACTATTTGTCATTTAATAGCTTTTGTCTGTTTTCTATGGAAAAGACAAGGCTGTGCTATTAAAATAGTGATACAACTTAAGTATTTTACCCTATGTTAAAAAAGTTACTTTAAAAAAAAAACCCTTAAAGATTGTTCAAGATCTGATGCTTGTGGAAGTGAACTGGTTGATTCAGAATGCTGTAAAAACAAAACAGTGGCCGTCAAGTTGCCTCCGACTCATGGCGACCTCATGTGTCAGAGTAGAACTCTGCTACATAGGGTTTCCAATGGCTTATTTGTCATAAGTAAGTAGATTGCCAGGGCTTTCTTCCGAGGTGCCTCTGGGTGGACTCAAACTTACAGCCTTTTGATTAGCAACTGAGTGTGTTAACCATTTGTAAGACAGGTTGCTTAGACTAATATTTGGCATAGATTCATTATGTAGTTATGGATTTTCCATGCCTGAAGGGCTTACTGTTTCTACCCCTAAGTAGTTTTGACCATTTATTTGTTCATTAGTACCCCCAGACGTTAGAAAGGAAGATTTCAATGTTTTTTGCCCCTTACTTAATATAGGTGTGCCATCTCTTCTGAAATCCCAAAAGCTCTGAAAATTAAGATTTTAATGCAACTAATTTGGTAGCAAATCCTGACCTGATGTGAGGTTACTTATACTCTTTATTTATCCCACTTATTATGAATATTTGTATATTTTAATCAGAGCTTTCAGCTGGTTCTGCCTGGTTCAGTCATGGCCAAGGAAACATCACCAGAACAGACCCGAATTTTTAAAGTTACAGTGTACCAGATAGATAGCTGGAACGGGAAAAATTACAGGTTGAAGCTCTGCTAGAAACTTATCTTCCTGTTAGAGAACAAGGGCAGCATATGCGTTGCATAGCAACCAAATCTCTTGCCCTCAGATTTTCAGCAGAGGCTGAAGCAGCACTATCCAGCTCAAGGATGACAGCACCCTGCTCAAATATGGCAGCTGACCGTGCCACATTGAATGTGTATCAACTCTCCTACAGTCCAGCCAGTTATCCAGTCTCATGCATCAGGCTCCTGAAGGGGCTCACTAGGCCTCTTCTGAGTCTCCCATTCCAGGGCTTCAACCCATAATTGTTTCCATTCTGGGTACTCTGCCGAATCTCCCAAATTTTAAAACTTCGAATTTGTTCCTGTTTTACTTTGTTGGCCATGACTGAACTGGTTCAAACTGGTTTGAAGCCCTGGTTTTACTTTAACTTAGAATCATTAATTATGTTTGATCATAAGAGTGCTGCCCCAGACCTCGTGGAGTTTATATATATATATAATCACCCTATTTCTTTTATAAAAGAATAATAATCTTAGTGTCAGATCAGGATTTGTAGACCTCTAATTGCTGACATACAATGATATCCTATTGTGTGCCAGGCACTATTCTAAATGAATCACTAGCATCTAAAACAGTGCTTGACATGCTGGTATAAAAAAAAAACGTAGCATAGCACGGTTACAAAAATACCTTGCCGGGGGATAGCACGGCTGGCAAACAAACATAGAAAGTGCATGTTATTTGCATAAAAATATGGTAATCCTCACCAAAACTGCATGTGGTCAATATGATTGTTATCCCCAGTGTACATGGGAAACTAATGCGCACAGAGAGGTGAAACAACTTGCCCAAAGTGACACAGTTAAGAAGTAGTGGAACCAAGATTTGAAGTAGTCTAGCTGCAGTCTGCTCTTATTTAATGGGTCTGCTTCAAATATGAGAGAGGACTGAAGATATGGCACTGGATCTTTTGACTGAGGCAGAGGGTTGTTTCAGTTTGTTTTATTCCTAATCACCCTGCCCCTGGTGTCATCGCAGCTGATGGTCATTACCAGGGCCGTACTGGGAAGGGGTTTTAATAGGTTCTCCTGGGTGGGAGCGTGAGAGTTCTAGGGATTTGAGAGGCCTTTAATCTCTTCCCAGGCTTCCCAACATGATCTCCATCAGGGAGATGACTTCTTTATCTAGACAGTTAGACAAGTGAAATAACTCTTTCTTAGCCGCAAAGAAATTAACTTGAATAGTGGAAAATGCCTTTTTGTAGATGTTTTCTGGATCCTTTACCCAGCAGGAGGTTTGGGCTCTGAGGAGGGCATGGGTCATCTCTAAGGGGTTGAGCTCCCTGGTGTGGAAGTCACACTGGGACAGAGCAAGGCCTATGGTGGGGGGGGGTGGGGACTGTAGCTTCATGGCTGTCTTTGTATCCTTGAAAGGATACTTCTAGCAGTGCTTGTCAAAATATAAGTAAATATTAGTATATAAGATACCTCCTTATGGAAACCCTGGTGGCATAGTGGTTAAGCACTACAGCTACTTAACCAAAAGGTCGGCAGTTTGAAGCCACCAGGCACTCCTTGGAAACTCTATGCGGCAGTTCTACCCTGCCCTATAGGGTCGCTATGAGTTGGAATTGACTCGACAGCAATGGGTTTGGTTTGGTTCTTTTTTTGCAATACTTGTATGTTTCTAGGGATAAGAAAATTCATCCCAAACTGATGACAACCTCATTACTCAATACCTCAAATTCCCTATCTTTTTTCCCTATATCATTTTTATTCTTAGCTCTTATCTCTGTCTGATATGTTTTACTTATTTATTTGTTTAATCTGTTAGTTACACACTGGCAGTAATGTTATCTTTGAACAGATGTAAAGGTTCTAGATTTATGCCTCTTTAATGTCATCTTCAAACTCATTCTCATCTATCAATCTCAGACTGCTTTAAATAACTAATTTTTTTGGCCCATTAGATTTTCATTATTATTAGTTATCATTTTTATATTAACATCCATGGGAATTTTTATGTTAACAAACTTTTGGATGTGTTATCGGAATGTGGAGAACTGATATCTTCATTTAGAAGGGGAAACAGCCAGATTTTAATATAATCATTGTTTTTTTTTTT